CCCTCAGGACTGTTCGACATATCGGCTGGTTCCGATACCCTACAGTATAAACTTACAAGTAAGTTATATTAAAAACAAAGATAATATACACTTCAAAAAAAATAATGTATCAGCTTGCACAAGGAGAGTACACACTGAGAAAACAGTTGAGGTAGACCTGGGGAACATCAACAACCAAAGGTCAGGAGACTGAAAAGCAGCTGCTGGATATTTCAAAGGAAAACCATAAACGTATTGAGAAAAGAGGCCGTTTCAATGGGGAGGAAGTAGCCAAGAGTTTCCAGTGAATAGCTGCAGCATTTTTAGGTTCCTTCTGGAATTTTTTTCCATCTAATTATTAATGTACAGGTACTTATTAACCTTATCTGACTTCTAAAGAGGAAAATAACTGACTTTGGGATGAAAGAAGGCTGGGTTGGAATCCCTAGCCAGTTCTGCCACCTGATAGGTCCCCATAATTTTTGAATAAGGGCCTGGCACTTTTGTTTTGCATATAACTGGTCCTGCCTTTGGTCGCCTGCCTCCGAAGACTGAAATAATTCTCCTGGTCCTTGAAAGAAACTACCCTTGCCATGTGACCAAAGGCCCAAGAGACCTCACAGCTTACATTTCTCTTGCCTCCAAATATCTTTGCTTCACCTGTCCAGATGAACACTGGTATCTTTCTGGTATAACTCACTTTCCTCATTCTCTGTCCCTAGACAAACGTCTTCCAGGAAAATAATCAAACATTACCTTCCTCAAGCCCTGTTAGACCCACCCACATGCAGTAGGCTCTCAATAAATGCTTTTGGGCTTATGGTTCGTAGACTTTGTAAATGACCAGCTAAATCCTGTACTACTTTATTATTTATTTATTTTTAAATTTTATTGGGGAACAGCCACGGTCATTGGTTACACATTGCTTTCATGCTACAATGGCATCGTTGACTCTTTTAAGGAGGGCACAGCTCATAGTGGCCTATGCGGGGATCAAATGGGCAACCTTGGTGTTATCAGCATGGTGCTCTAACCAGCTGAGCTAACTGGTCACCCCTAATCCTGTACTGTTTAAAGTAGTCACTCTGCATTCATTCACTCACATCTGATCCCCAGTTATACACATTTGGCTTGGACACAATTTAGTTCTCTACCCTAGTTTATTTAAATGACATATGCTCAGTCACTATCTCTAATATGTTCTTCCACTACGTTAGTTTCTGAATCATGTCTGTGTAACTTTTTCATTTCCACCAGAGATCCTTCTGCACATGGATGTTAATAGATAATGTTTGATAGTAGTTAATTGATTTTGCTTTTGCTAATATGTAGAGAAGGTATGGTAAAATAGAACACAGACTTTGAAGTCAAAAGAGCTTGGATTGGATCTTGCTATTATTAGCTGTTCAAAGGCTCCCATTCCTTGTCAGTAAAGATTAGAGAGGCTGCCCTGTGTGGTTGCTGTGAAGGCATGACATAATACACACAAAGAGCACAGCATATGAGGCCCTTAATACTCATCTCCCCTTCTCCATCTTCTAAAGAAGCAAAGTTAGGGTCATTCATGCAATACTGCTCTATTAGGTTTTATTCATTACAAGGTTCTGAACCATATTTATAGTAATTTATACTTTATAAAGGCCTAATTGATCATTGTCTAAGGAAACACTGAAAGAGGTGAGATCACATTCCTTCACCATTAAATGCTACATTTAGCTTAATATTTAAAATATCTCATGCCTATTTCCCCACTAATAAAATTAAAATATAATTCAATGCATTAACTTACTCATTCAACAAACATTAATTAATGATTCAACAGGCATTTTCTCATTGTTAAACATAAAAAGTACTGGGTATGGAATTTGAACAAAACAGGACAGATCTCTGCCACTATGGAGTTGGTTATTTCAACAGCTACATTCTAGAAAAGAGCCTTATGCCAATGGATTGCAACTACATTTTATTCAATCAATGATAAGACATTAAAAATTGCTTGTATTAAATGCATAATGCAAAGTTCTGCAGTATCACTGCCAAACACCTGTTTCTAATTTTTAATGTATGGAGATGCTGTACTGAGATACACCACAGGGAAAATATTGTAGCAATCATGACCATTTCCCTCTGAGGTACCAACAAATATTTTGGAAGAGGAAAATGAAAGAGACAAATTCAGTTTTAGATTCAATCAAAAAGATTTGAATGGATAAGTGTATATACTTTTTTCAGATTCTTCACATTAATTTTGCAAACAGCCAGAATTTTGGCTACTAAAATAAATTGCCAACCATTCAATGACTCTTATATCAGCGTTCAGTGACACATACGCCTATCACATGCTGTAAAGTCTGATGCCAAATAAACAGTTGGATTTTAGAAAGTGCTTAATGCATGTACTTTATTAAAATGGCATTATGTACACTGAGATATGATATTTTAGCCTGTTCAGTTACTCTAATACATACATTTAAAACAATGGTCAAAGCAGCAATTACATCAGCTCACTATAGGAAGTGCTATACACCCAAGTAGCACTTTGGTAAATTATAAAACAAATGTGTACAAGAGCACTTCGGCAGAAATTAAATTAATTTTGGACACACCAAACTGCTAAATTCTGTACTGGAAGCCAAGGGCAGATGAGTCATTCTTGGAGGTGGAAGAACTCCATGATTTCACCGCCTGGAACACTCAATATTACCATCAGGGGACCATTTCAACCATCTAACAACCAACCAACCAACGCCAGTCACGCATTCTCATTCCAGATGTCAAAAGCCACAGGCAGGTTATCACAATTTGGCTTGTAAAGACATGACTTTTTATTTCTGCTTCAGTTATCCAGATAAAGGAATCTAGTAAATACAATCAAATGCAACCCAACCAAAATTGTATGTCCCTTTTCACAGACATGGCTATGTGAACAATCAAAGTGCTAAAGGAAAATATACATACATGTTTAACTGTCGGATGCTAAACTTTAACCATCCTTTTCCAGCTCCCTGCCTTGAAGCATTTTCTGTCATATTGCCATGAAATTAAATCTCTGTGCTTTCTTAGAAAGGAAACTAAATGTCCTGTCTGACATTGAAGCGTTAGCACAGGCCTAATTCCCTGCCAAGATTCTAAAGAAAAAAAAAAAAATCATATTCCACTTTGAAAAGGTAATTTCTATTTCGATTATGTGTTAATAGTTCTTCAAAGTAAGTAATTAACTTGAAAAACGTTCACATCACAGAGTACAGAGATTCAAACTGATCCCTCCAAAACTTTTTTTTTTCCCAAAAACAAATGCATCACACTTTGACTCACTGAAACACAAAGATCTGTAACAAATGAACAGCTGATGGAAAGCAGGATGGCATTTACTTTTGAATATATATAAGTACTTCACAACTTATACTTGTGAAAAATCACAATGATTTCAAGATGATTTCACCAGAAAAATGTTGGCTAATAAAGTTTGGCAACATAGGTTAGGAAGGTGATTTATATATTACATATAAATGAAAGGCAGACATAAATACAATTGATTTAAGTTTAATTACATTAATATAATTTATAACATAGCTATACTCACATGGTAATAGCCACATGGCAAATTCACAGTTATAACTAAAAAAACTATTTAGAACAGTCCTTTTCTTTCCATTACAATTTGCATAATTCCCAGTAATAGACTTAGAAGCCTAACCATGTATGCTTGTCTTTTATGGATGATAATAATCTACATATTATTCTTCAACAGTGTAGCTTGAAAAACAAACACCACAATGTTTTATGCCTAAGTCAAAGTTCACTTTTAAAAGTTTCTGAGGTGAAGCAGAGCAAAACCTCACCCCTGACCTGCACCTACACAACCCTACAAATCCCTTTGTCAAACCTGGCAAACCACTGCATGGATCAGTGATTCTTAGACCTTTCAACTTGATAACACCACTCCCACTCCCACCCTTAGTTTTTAAAGTAAAAACTAAAGGTTATGTGAAGAATTGAAAACAAAAATGAAACTTACATCTTCAAATGTATCATTTTGTGCTTCAGAGCTTTTGTTTGCTTGTTAGTTTGGAAATTCTCCATACTCCTAAATGTATCTTGTGTATTTATTTTCCAGGACCTGACTCAGGAAGAGTCAGAAAATTTTCCAGCTTTCTTAGTCTAACTTTGGGTCCTCACTTCTCAGACAACAAATAGAAAACTATATTCTTTCCTGCAATGTTTTTCTTTCTTTCACCAAATTTCCTTGAAAAAAAAAAAACAACTAAAATATTCCTATCCCATTTTTCCCCAAGGACAATTCCTGATTAATATAGGCTGGAAAACTCAATATTTATTTTCTTCCATCCCCAAAAAAGTGAGGAGAAGATATGAATATATATGTTGGGCCCTGGTCCTTCTAACAAGCCTTCATATAAAACTTAAAGAAAGAAAATAAGTCGACTCTGAAAACTGAGAGTTGAAGATATATATACTATTCCAACTTGATCTTTATGGTTTCTTTTTTTGTTTCTACAAATCTCCACCTCATTCTTAACACTCAGTATTTTTCTCACATCCTGTTATTTTATATGCAAATTACTATATAACAGTATAGCTTCAACATGCTGGTTTTGTTCCTGGGTTTTCCACATAAGTTATCCACCATAAAATATCTCCTACAGCCATTTTTAATCTTTTTCCTCATCTGTCAATAACCATTCTCCACTATAAAACTGCCCTCAGTTTATCAAGAGACCTTAGGTATAAACATATCAATAATTTAGAGCTAACTGGTGAAGTAGTTATGCAGGATTGTTCCCTTTAATTTTCTATTACTCCAAAATATACATATGTACATACATTCACACATATAACAAATTTACACTGTCTGCAGAAGTAAACTGCAGATAATTCCAAACACACATTTAGAGATTCACATTTTAACAGCAAACTTACATGCAAATATAGGGAAGCACAGTTTTTATACTCCTAAATTACACAGCAAGCTGAAATATAGACTGTTTTAATGTTCAGATTTATCCCTTCTTATGAGTCTTAGAAATAAGCAAAAAGGAGACATAAACCTCAAGCTATGTCTGTAGCAATATCAGTCAATGTGGTATTATTTTTACTGACATTATCTACCATGCTTAGTCTATAAAGTGATAGAATCATACTATATACAAAACACACAGATAACAAATGCAAACTTTATATGAGACACTTGACACCTTTGATAATTAACTTTGAATAGCTTTGACCAAAGGAATCTTAGCCTGTGCATTCTTTTTTGATATGAAGGAATAGTCATATCGCCACAGCATTCTTAGCTACAAAACAGGAATGAACTGTGGATCTGGTGCCACAGTTAAAATATATAAGTGCACTCTTTATAAATATTTACATAATTTAGCAACATCATATTATCTGAATTAATTTCTTTGCATTGCTATATTTCCCAGTAAGTGGTCCAGAATACAAAATACAGTAACAGAGAAGCGTTCTCACACTTACCCCTTGGTACAGTTATTAAAAATTGAAACACTTGCTGATAACACACTGAGTAGCTGTGAAAACACTGACTACTTTTGAAGAACTTGAAGACAAGAACCTATTCAAGTGAATAAAGAATAAATGTGATCACAAAAGAAACTCATAGCTGCCTAAGAGTTTTAAAAATTAGAAATTTCACACTCAGCGAGTATATCAAAACCACTTTTCATGTGCTCACTTAACTTAAAAAACTCACAATAGCTGAATTACACATATATTTATACTATGTACAGTCGAACATAAATATAGTGGGTATTTCTGAAAAACTACTACGTAAATAACGACTAAGTTTACACTGGTTTGTACACTGATCTAATGAGTCACAGGCTCACTCTGGTACAGCTGGCTTTTTTGATCTAATCGGCTTCTTCAAATATTTAGTGAAAAACTGTTGTACAGAAACTCAAAGTCCCGGCAAGCCATCATCAGGCCCATCGTCCACTGGAGGCAAAGCTTCTGCTGAACGAGAAGTGGATTTCGGAGTTCTGGTATTTTCCCCAGGCACCAAAAGGCACTACGACTGCAGTACTGTTATCTTCAGCACCATACTGTATTGCCTACAAGGTTTGGCAGGAAAGAAGAGAAAGACACTGGAAATTAGAGTCTGTACAAAGAGAAATCATTCTTCCTCTGGAAGGTCAAACTCATATAACACAGTTACTAACCCAATTATGTCACAATGGTTTGTGATTCTTTTTTTTTTTCCTGTTTTGGTTTGTGATTCTCTCACCATGTACTAATGCCCACACAGTTTATTAAATTGCACATAGAATAATAGATGGCCCAAAACTACCATATTAACTATATTCCACTGTAGCAATTTTGGCAATGGAAAACACCGATGGATTAAGGTATAAGGTATGCAGCTCCAGAAGAAGAAAATACATGTAAAGCATTTGGCATAGGGACCAATATAAGATAAAGATTCAGTAAGTGTTAGTCCTTACCTAGCAATTCTGCTTCTAGGAATTTAGCCTTAAGAAATAATAACCTAAAGAAATGGATGTGTATAAAGATATAACTACAAGAAAGTTTATTATGCTTCCTACAAAATGGAAAAAGTGGCATAAACTAAATTTCCTAGAGTCGGAGAACTGTAAATCAATTTCAGGAACTAATTCAAACAGCTAATGATACAGTCAGCATTGTAAGAAGTACTAGGAATTATATCTAACAGCAATTGTATTTCAAAAGGCCTTTACAGCCTGAGGCAGAAACTGTGAAGGAAAGGGTTGATAAACATGTCTGAAGTATAAAGCTTCAAGAAACAAAATGTTTTACAAACAAAAGACAAAAAAGACTTTCGCAATATCAAGCAAAGTACTAATATACTAAATGTATAGGCAGTTCTTATAATAACCATGAAAAAGACAAACATGCCTATAAGATAATGGAAAAAAACAAGCTGTACACAGGCAAGAAATACAAGCTATGAGGGCCGGCCGAGTGGCGCGTTGGTTAAGAGCTGGCTTGGGACGCCAGAGGACCCCGGTTCGGATCCCACATATGAGGGCCAGTGACACTGCCCTCCACATTTAAGATGCTGAACAACAGCTCAACCTGGAGCTGGGCTGCCCTGAGTCGCCGGTGAAGGCGTAGGCTGCGCAGTGGGTTGCCATGGGCTACCATGTGTAGCCAGCAGCCAGCGTGAGCGGCCAGCAGCCGCAGTGAGTGGCCGTCCAGAAGCCGGCGACTGATCTGCCTCATCTGGGAAGAGCGCAATGATGGTGCCAACTTGAGCCAGTGAAGCAACGTCCTCCACAACTAGACTGAAGAACTAAATGACAGCAACTTGTCTGTTCCCCTTCCCCAATTCCCCAGCACTGTTCCCATCCCATAATTCCCCAATAAAAATCTTAAAAAAAAAAAAAAAAGAAAGAAAGAAATACAAGCTATGAAACATGCTAGTAAAAAGTGTAAATTGGAATAATATTTCTGGAGGGCAGTTTGGCAAACTTTTTAAAAGCTTTAGAAAACTGTGTATTCTTTTAACCAAGCAATTTTACTTATAAGACTTTAACCTAAAAAAATAATATCTGAAGAAAATAGATATGCACAAATAGATATAAAAATGTTTATAACAGTGTTCCCCCTATAATATGGAAAAGTGAACATAAACTAAATTTGCTGATTGGGGGAACTGTTAAATGAATTATGGTCCACTAATATAGTGGAATACTATGCAGTCATTAATAAATATCATTGCCATTGTGAATTAGAACACACATATCTCAATAGGTAGTTGAAATTCAGAAAGAATTGATCATCCATAGAACTGGGCCCATTTCCTTAATCTCATGAGTACACATAGTAACCAAGTGAGTAATTTATGCTTGCTCATTCATTTTCAAGCAAATAATGCTTTTTATATTCTTCTTTAACTGTTTTAACTCTTTCGCTGCATTAATTTCAAGTTTTTTTCAAAATGTGTCAGAAATCCACATACAAAAAAAGTTATTTTGACTATTTTATGCATTTAAAATAACAATTTGAGCTGCTTTACATATATATAACATTATTTTCTATTGTTATTCATTCTTGAAAAACACAAAAATATAGAAAAATGTACATCTGCTTTCCTAAACTTGCTTTCTGGAAGTTTCCATCTGCAGTCAGCAGATGGAAATATTTATTCGGATATATCCAACTGTCACGGCAAAAGGGTTTTAAGTAATGTGTTATAGCTTAATTACAAATACTAGCATTGAAAACTTTGGGCTTTACACTTGAAACTGATATGAAATAATATTGAATGTCAGCTGTAATTGAAAAATAAATAAATAAAATTAAAAGTTAAATTAAAAAGTTTGGGCCAAATTTGGCTTCAGAATTGAAAATGTAAAAATCAGGAAATGCAAAAAAATAGTTGTTGAATTAAGCTGTGCCTCTAATGATCAGTGATGGCTATAAGTTAAAAGAACTATCTATCCAAACAGAATATTAAATGTCTTACATTTTCTCTACTTGGTATTATTTAGTTTCCAAATTTTAGCTCTGACACAGTGACACACAACACCCTTTTGTATTTGTTTCTCACACCCATTCCCCAAAACCAGTCTACTGTGCTATAGTGTTCCTATACTGCGTAATTACTTGGAACAATCAAATGGTTAGATTTGGGAAATTGGCTGTTTGAAGCCCAACCAACAACTATTCTGCAGTGTAATTGTTTTGTGATCTTGAATAAAAGTTACTTCTCAGCCTCTGTGCCTCGGTTTTCCTCATGCATAAAAAAAGGATAATACGAGCTCCAACCTCAGAGGATTATATTGTGTGATTACATGAGTCAAATACATATCAGCAGAAGAGTGTCGGGCACATAGTAAGGAATATATTACGATTTATTATTATTATTATTTACTATTGCTGTTACTATTATTTTAAGATGTATACAAAGCCAAAAAATAAACAGCACATTTCCTTGGCATATTTATTGTACTTAACTACTTGGGAGAACTGTAAAATTTCTTAAATTGGTAATACTATGGAGTCAAGTATAAAATTCATTTTAATACTGAAGCTACAACACAAAATTTCAAAGAAATCTCAAGCCCGTTGTGGCCCCTTCAGGCTGCACCAAAGCCTGCACCTGCGTTTGTCCTCCTCTCCTCCCCCACTTGGGACTTTGGTAGTAGGAGCCCTGCTGTATCACCTGTTCAGTCACTGCGTGCGCTGCTTCACGGGGATCATGGCACTGATTGACAAAGTTACAAATCTCTTGACTATTCACCATGAAGTTAATTCCGTCTGTAGTGAGGACCAGGAAGCTGTCATCAGCATGATGTAGCTGCAATCAGAACCAAACCCATAGGATTACAAACTACACTCGGCCTTAGGATAATCTTTATTAATTCGAAGATTGTATCTGTTTGCTGAGTTTGCTGAGTTGTATCTGTGTTTAACAGCTTGTAGGCAAACAGTGAAAATGGAAGGCCTGTATTTAGGGAAAAAGCAGCAACATTTAGCATCAACCACCGAGGAAAGACCTAACAATTACTTGGTAACGCCACAAAGGAAGTAGCCAGATACCCGAATTCGAGAGGCAGCAAGATGTAGTGGTTGAGGGCACTGTCTCTGGAGCCAGGTTTCCTGGGTTTGAGAGACCTGTTTCTATTTTTCAGATGGGCAAACATAGGTAAGTTGAACTCTATATGCTCCAGATTTGTTTTCTTGGTAAAATGGGGCAGTAGTTATTTTGAAGACAGTCTGGCACATACTAAACCCTATACTAGGATTTATTAGATAAAATGAATATAAATGGGCTATCTATAAGACATGAAACCATTTTGTTAATTAATTTTTGCTGCCACTATTGGAAGCCTGTACTACACTCTAGTGCCAGGTACTAGAGTAGGACGGGTTGCAAAGAGGGAAGTGATGGCTCAGGACTGGATGTGTGCTAGGGGAACATTAATTTTAGTAGCATGCAAAGGATGTCACAGAAATAGAGGTGGGACAATTAATTAGCTTGGTGGAAAAGGGAAGTCAGGGTAAGCTTCCAAGTGGAGGTGACACTTAAATGATCAGGTGCAGGTGAAGAAGGGCAGGAGAGCCACTCCACCCAAATTCCACAGCAGGGTGACACAAAAACCAAACACATCATCATACAATAGGCCTGGAAGGTAGTATCTTATTTTGTCTGAAAAGTTTACCTTTCCTTTAATTACTCCCTTTTAAAAGTCATTTTGATTTCATTTAAGGCTTCCAAGAAAGTCTGGAGCGGGAGACAATCTTACATTCATTCCCTGTATGTATCTCAAGTGTTTTCAAGTCCTCTCTTACCTTAATCCTCTTTGTTTCAGGTTCTGCTATCACACCACTGCTTTTAAGATCCAAATCTCCAAGACTCCTTGTCATAGCAAGTCTGCCATTCACATGAGGCTGTCCCAAACTATTCCAAGCTATAAAACCACCACATTTCTTGATCCTGGTCAAGAAAAAGTGAAGACGGTGATGTGATATCCAGAAAACCAAGGCATGGTTAAACTTAAGCATGAAATCAGTTTAAAGTGCAAGGCTTCATTTCTATGAAATATATATATATATATATATGCAACATCCTTATTAAGTGATTGATCAGCTGGAGGTGGTACCTTTCTTTTTCATCCTTTCTCTCTGGAGTATGGTCAATGGTCAACTTCATGGGTTTTCCTTTTCTACACAGAATAGCCCGGCTATCCCCAACACTGGCTACTACCAGTTCAATACCATCTCTCAATAGGGCTACTGTTGCAGTAGTCCCAGATGTCAGAAGGGTTGCTGTAAACATTATGAAAAAAGAGTACAAGTTACTGAAGGTCAAATGATTGGATACAAAATTTTCATTACAAAATAAAACACAGGCATGTTAAACTAATGCTGAAATGTGTCATTTTAATTTAACTAGAGCTACGCAAATAAAATGCAAATAAACTACATAAGAAAGAACATGCAGAGAAAGAAGTATTTAATTCAGTAACAAGGCTCCATGCAAACAGAAAATGTTGCTATCCTAATTTGGTAAATAATGCATCACTGTCTCCAAATGGCCTCTATTTAATCAAGTAGAGCTGACATGAACTTATAATAATTATCACAGCACCTTTGTGTGTACATCAGGTGTCGGGATTAAACGTATTATATTTTATTAGATTGGTTAATATAGTAGGGTGACTTAGGCCAACATTTCTATAACCTATGGCTCAGAAGGTTTTCTCTTCCATTTCTTATTCTCATTCTGTAAAACTATTAGCTAATAGGCTAAGCAAGGTATGCTAAGGGCATATCATTTGCTCTTCAAGTGCTGTATTTTATATTCTTTCCTTCTATAGCTGTTTTAATTTTATAAATGTTCACCCCAAAAAAATTCTAAAGTGGTTAAAGGCTCACATTCTTTTCTGTTTATCTTTGTTGGCCCCAGACATGAAACAAAGTTACAGCCATCATTATATGAGGAAAATATTAGGGGCAGGGAACAAAATTCTTTCTAGTTTCCCATAAGCCTGGTATAGTTAACATTCCTAGCTCTGGAAGGATCTACCACAATCTGTCTGTATCCAAATGCAGGATAGTACTGCCAAGTGCTACTCCTGTGGTCATGCCCTGGGCCCAGGACATTCTAAGAATGTTCATTTTTCTTCAGACCAATAACAAATAAAATTAAATATTACTTAGCTTGAGGTCACCGCTATTTCTTCCAACCAATGCAAACTGCATTTTTGCACCTTCCTTTGAATTATTCTAATAGTGTCTGCCCTTTCAGTTCTTTACCACGTGTTAAAAAAATTTAAGGTGCATTGAGCCTTGCTAAAGTGAGAGTTATGTGTAATTATGGGCTAAAAGGTAAAACAAATTGGAAGAAACTGGAAAAAAATAACTTATTTAAAGCAGGCATGTTTCCCATAACACGGTTAATTCTTTAAATCATCTAAAAAATATTCAGGTGATCAACCAAAGATGATTGACTTCAAAAGTGGATTTAAGAAAAATAAACTTTTATTGATTTGACAGATTGAGGCTCAATCTTTCCAATCTTTGTTTTTAGAAACAATTTTTAAAACTTCACCAGTAATGCCTTTTGGAAAGAAATATATATACTTATTTTCCAATCAGTATATTAAGATGCCTGCTTTAATTAGAAAAGTAAAACGGAGAAACATGAATAAACCCCACTTAATCTTTTATATCCATGCTGAATTTACTTTACTGAGAAATAGCATTTATACTTCTACTATCTTCCCATTTATCTCGATTTTGGAACTGTTGCACCAAAGCAATAATATCTTGGCAATGTTAAAATATACTTGTCAATGTATAACAAATGTTTTAGCGTGTAAGTATCAGTAATATTTACATTACAAATGTTAACTTTTGCGTTTCCCAAAACACAATACAGTGGACTCTTGTCAGTTTAACCACTGTCATATTTTCAAATGACTGGAAGAGCCAGGCAAGAGAACAGGCATTCGCTGAGATGCTACCTGTCCAGGGAGTTCAGTATTCCTGTCCTTTGTTTGAACCCTCAGCATCAACTTTTTTGCAAGTGGTTTTAAATTGGCTACATCAAAAGAGTTAAAATTTCATAAGTGAAAATTTCAAGTTTAACTGTTTCAGGATTATAATTCATGGCTCTGCCACTTTGAAATTTGTAAAAGCTTGCATGTTTACCAACCCAACTTGACAGTTCCAAAATCCCAGGATTTACGGGAAAGTTCTCAACACTAGCTGTTGATTCTGGTTTGCTAAGCATCCTAGACTATAAATATTAAATTAGCATTTACTTTCACTTAACATTTAACATAGAAGTAAAAATTCTCACTTTTTGCCCTAACAAACAAAACTATATAAAACTAAGACATCTTTCAATAAGTTCTTAACACTCACTGGACATTTTCTACTGCAAGTCACCTCTACTAATGGGACAAAGAGGATGTGGGAACCTTCCAGTAGTCCAGGCTAGGAACCGCTGGACTCCTTCACCTGGGACAAAATTAAGCAGATCTCTCTTTCCACTGAAGCCCAGCATATAGTGTCCACGGGCTCCAGGTCTAGAGCTGCTGACCAGGCACAGTTCTCTGCCACAAATAACACGCACAGAGGCAAATAGGAAATTCACCCAGGAATTGTGCTCAAACATTACAAACCTGCAACACAGGGGAAGGCAGAGAAAGAGCTGCAAAATAAGGGGAAGGGTTTTTATTTTGGTGAAAATTTCACTTGCAAATTATATAATATTCCGGGAGATGCCAAGTCAAAGATTCCAAAGCTCAGTTTGCCCAACTTGGTGGTATTTTGTAGTTGAGCCTATTTTTCATCACAGAGTTAATACTTCTTAGTTTTGTGACTTCCCAAAGTAGGAAAAACTATATACAAATGCACGTGCACCAAAACATACATGCGGTGACAGACACACACATCTACATACTTATATTCTCTCTCTCTCTCTCACACACACACACACACACACACACACACACACACACACTCACTTGAAGAGTAGTAAATCAGTACCTTTACTGAGTTGAAAAAAACGCACTGTATATTCATTTGGTAGCGATTTCAGAATTGTCCCAATAACAAAAGGGAAAATTCACAAGTATAGCGCTGAATATTTGTTATATCTGACAAAGCAGTGCACAGTGAGAGAGGATGTGAACTACAGCATACCACCAAATTACTGGGATTTATATACATATGCATACCAAGGAGGAATCAAAGCACCTCCTATATCAGATACAAGGAGTAACACATTTGTTATGGTGCTCAATGCAGGATTTAGTATCTAGAAGCCAGTTTTTGAGTGGATGATTAATTTATTACGATTCTTTAAATAAAGGCTAGCAAAGCTCTTGAGCTCTAATGCATGTTTACAATTTTATGTAATTCCTAAAAAATGGATGTTTCTGCAGCTCTCTCTTTCCCCCAGTGTTGCAGGTCGACATATCAAAAGAAAAATGATCGAGATTTCAAATGGCAACAGAAAGATTAAAAGCTATACTTTTCAAAGTATAACCCCCACCTCCCTCCAGTGAGTATTCAACTGTGTAAACAACAATATGAATAAACCAATAGTTTCAATATGTTAAAAATGGATGTTCCAGACATGACTCATGACCCCCAAAATCAAAGTAATAAGCTGAAAATAGAAACAGCACCATAAGCATCTCTATTCAATACTATCCCTATTTTTTTATTTTTTTATTATTATTTTTTAATCTTTTGGCTACTCCCAGCACAAGAAGGGTACTCAAAAATGCTGCACTTCTAACATTGGTTGTTTTGTAGTTTAACTCTTCCATAAAGAGATCTCATAATATGAAGAGCATGGAAGTTTCTGATGAGACTCACAATGTTGCCACCATCTCCAACTCTGAATGTCAGAGCAAGTCTTCTCTTTTTTATCCATTTGTCTCTTGAGAAGTTTTGTTGCTTTCAAACCTTAAGCAATCTAGAAACACTTTGAAGAGTTTATAGAATATATAGGATTATAATCTAATTTTATACTGTCTGGTTTAAGTGACAATTTGTTCATAAGCAATAGGCTAAGGGAATATCATTTGAATTTACTGGCTGGTTAATCATAAAAATACACATGACTGGTATCAATTGAACACAAAAATATTCAAAGATAATGAGAAAATTAGTTATTTGTAAATAAGGGTAAATTCAAAATTTGTCAACAACAAATCAATAAAAATAGCCGGCAATTCCTTAGGGGCAAGAGTCATGCCCTTCTTGATATATGGCATTCTGCTTTTATTCTCCTCAAACTACCCTCAGTTTAAACTAAAATAGTAAATATTTTAAGTGCTAATGGGATCATTTGAAGTACTTTATACAGATGTGACAGCATTAGACTAAAGTCTTGAAAGGATGAGAATTTTTTATTTTCACTTTATTATTTTCACTTTCTCTTAAGAAAGCTAATATATAGTATGATTGAGGGGCACGCCTCCCATTTATACATGAAATTCCACCATTAGTGACTCATTTCTATGGTGGAACCAATCTTTTCTCATGTTTCCCCTAGTTAAATTCAAATCCACTCAGGAGTGATAACTCATTAAAATAAAAACATTTTATTAACAATTTGGTTAAATCAGCTATAGGATAATCAAGGAATAAACTATAATAACTGGTGAGAACCAGTAGGCAGTGCAGGTTTAGTTCAGCCCACCTGAGTGCCTTTCAGATTCTATGCAGGGTGCTGAACAATGGAGATTCAGAACTGAATAAGCATGGTCCCTACCTGCAAGCTACTCACAGGCAGGGTTCAAGGAGGGAGAATAGGGCTGATGGATGAAAGAAACTGGAGAGGGAAAACTTGCAGTTACTTCATAATTTAATTTAACTAACATTGTTTCTCTCATATGTATGCCAAAAAAGATATCACCCACTCTCACAAAACAGACACTGCTTCAGTTCTTACTAAAAACTAAAAACAAAACAAAACAAAATCTCAACAATAACTTTGAAATCTGAAATGGTTTAAGTTTTTCTTAAATCCACAAATTGAAAAGTTAAACAACATTCTATCTTCAGTGGCTTTACTATACTTGATAAAATAGGCCCCAAATATCAAAAGGTACTTTTTGCCACCTTTGAAAGTCTTAGCAACTGATTATGAATAAATCTGAAGTTCTTCTCAAAATACTTCTGAAAGCCTCGCCCAGTAAGCTCTGCCTGTTTGTAGAACAGCTAGGGCACACGGCCTGCCCTGCAGCCGACAAAATCGTGGTGTGAGATGCAGCCGACCTGGTTATGGATGAAACAAGCACACCGATGTGGATACCAATATTCAGAGTTATAAACATAAAACGATAAGAAAGTGTTCTAGTCCTCTTCTCCTTCATATATTTTAGCTACTAAGAACAAGAGATAAATCTTATGCCTGAAATTTACCCTCTCTCAGTCCTTATTTTCAGAATACGGGCCAACTGGAAGGAAAAAAAAAGTCTAAAGGAATAAAGGAGAAGAGCAAATGGGCCTGAATGATCTACAAATGAGAAAATAAATCCCCAAACAAAGAAATGGAATCTAATGCTCTTCTGAGGAATATGATGGTCGAAAGTTTCTCAAAAAAAGCAGGAGAAATTTCTTGAGATGGCGAAAGGAGCCATTCTAGAATAATTTTCTCTAAATGACTCTCATCATTAAATATGCCCATTAATTACTTAATTAATCTGGGAAATGGGGAGAATTTCCACCCCTAAGCACTCCAACTGAAAATTGTGAACATGACATTTCTGTGGTGCACTTTGACCTCTTTTGAACAAAAGGATGAACCAAACACAGGTTAATATTATTGCATGATTCATTTTCATTCTAAAGAGGGTGCCAAGAAAATGTATACACATTTTAAGAAAAGAAACCTGTATTAAAATTGTACTACTCAATATATACCGATAACAAAAGATGAATACAAATCACGTTTGACTTCTGCAATTACAAGAGGTGCTCAAAGTGGTTACCATCAGCGTCCAGACACTTCTGATTATGGCGAACTACTCCTTGAGCAACACTGACCAAAGTGTCCACTTGTATACATTTTTTTTGGCACCCCTCATATATGCACACATTTACACGGTTGCTGCAGAAGTTTTCAAGATTAACTTTTTAAGCAAAAGATTCGGGGGCCAGCTAACTAGAAAACATTAACTACATTTTCCTGAAATAGTTTTGATAAATTTAATCAAAATCAGAAACATTTTACTTTCAAAATGTAAGGACATACAGCACACAAAATTTTAAATTCTCCTTGTGTTTAACAAATAAAAAACAAAAGTATCACTTGTTACCACAGGAAAATAAAAAAACAAAAATATCACTAGTTACTACAGGAAAGAAAGCTGTAAGATTAAGCTTTTTTTAAGTGGGAGGAAAAAAATACCTTCATTCTAATTATATAAAGTAGTGTGTATTAGTCATTGTCCTTTCCTGCCTAGGACCAATTAGCAATTTTCCTCTTGTCTGGACAATTACTGTCCTGGCTAGATAAGATTGCCCTGTAATGTATTTCTGTATTTGCTCATCAGATTCATCTAAAAACAACAAAAATAATAACTCTCTCATAGTATGAATATCTTAACAAGCAATCAAACGGAATAAAAATATTTTAAATCTTTTTAAAATGGAAATTTAACATCAGGATCATTTTAGAGTTTCAATTTCTGAAAAATTCTCTAATATATTTCTCATTTAAAAGTGAGGTACTAACATTAGTTTGGATTACAAACAGCGTTTAAAGTGATTCTTTATATAAAATCATTTTCAATACAATATCCTTACAAATAAACTAAAATTACAATTCCCCACCCCCTAAAGAGCTTAAATTGTTTCCACTTTACCCAACATTCCCCAGGACCTCAGGAATGTAACTGTTTTACTTACCATCAGCAGACAGGTGGGCGAGCCTCGCAAAGGCTTTATCTATTTCTAGAAAAGCCAAGGTCAACACAGTTTCCAAGTTCTTCTCCTTAGGAAGCAAATCCCTTTGTGGCAAGGGAAAAAAAGAGCCCCAGACAATCATTTTACAATAGGCTTCTCATCTTCCTCTCATCTTCCTCTCCTCTGGGTCATTCTACAATAGCTAGCAGTCACTCCACTCAATGACCTCCATGTCTTGCTTTCAGGGGCACGTTAAGTGTCTACTAACTGGCAGGCCTCTAAGGACACTAAAATAAAAATCCCAAATTCCCATACTTAAAAAAGATTAATCCTTTCTACTGCAACCCTGAGAGGTCAAGAGTGCCTTCATATTAAATTAAGCCACTGAGTTGTGTGGAATAAGGCAAAATATTCCTAAATCAACTGATATACAATGAAAACAACTGTACACAGGAAGACAAGAAATAGTCACGTGGCCATAACTCTGCCACATGCTCTCCCCCTCCCCCCTTTTGTTTTTTAGCTGAGCCATCCTGCCACCTGTTGGCAGCTCAGCAGTTGCTCAGCTCGGGCTGGGACTCGAACCGCTGTTGCTCAGAGCTCAAACTCTTGAGCGAGCTCTTAACCAACTGAGCCACTTGGCCGGCCCACTCCCCCCTCTTTTAATGCTACCAGTAGTGTGATCCTCAAAGGTACATCAATAATAAGTGCGGTAAATAAATTAGGTAAAGAGCTTCAAATCACCCACATTAAATGCATTTTTCTCCATACTAATGCCAATCATCTAAAGCTATTTTCAACAAGTATTAAAAGATACTCATACCACTTGAGAGAATAATTACCATTTATGGAACCGCTATGTGCCATGCACTGATAGGAGTAAATGCTGCTCATAGATTCTCATAGTACATGAGATCAGGTACTTTATGTTAACGCACTTGAAACGATCACAAATCCAGTAAGGTAGATTCTGGTTAAAAAAAATAGAGGCCCAAAACGCAGTCGCCTGTGCTAAGCCTATGCCACCAAACCAAGGCTTAATATCTAACCTCGTTGAGATTTCACCCTTCCCCAGGAATGCAATCTGAACTGGTCAGTCTGGAATTTTCTAAGCAGCACCAATGGGGTAACCAGCCACATAGGCCCTTTCCATCCCTCAGAGGAAGCTGAGGTCACCTGTTCTTTCCTTACCTCTTCCCCCTCCGCCTATAGAAGCCTTCCATTTTGTTCAGCTCCTGAAGCTCCTCTCTAATTGCTAGATGGGATGCTGCCCCATTCATGAATTAATTGTTCAATAAAGCTAATTAGATTTTTAAAATGTGTTCAGCTGAATTTTTGTTATTTAACGTAGTCAATGCTCTCACAGAAGTTATGAAAACACATGTTTCTGAAATGGTGACCATCATCAGTAATAAAAGGCATGCTTAAGCTACTAGCTCGTTCATAAATCAACAATGTAAAACCACTCAAATAACTACATTAAGACAACATCTCAGCCAAAAGGTGAAAGTTTAAACACAAAGCATAAGGCAATCTGCAAAGTCAAGAAAGTCATTGTACGTACATGATGCATTGCTCCATGTGGGTGTGGCAGAAATCAGCAGCTGCGGGTCCACCATGTCCATCATACACGGCAAAATACAGGACCTCATCTGTCAGCTGAGCAAAGTCAAATCTGTCTTCGTTTTCTTTCCGTTTGCCAATCTGCGAGGCGCCGCCCACGTTTTCCAAGCTGATTTTGGGGATTGGCTTGCCATACTTAATGCTGGGCGGCAGCAGAATTGGCTCATCAATGCGGTTATCCCAGATCCCAAAATTATCCCAGGTGGCTGGACGCCCACTACCATCTGGGTCAAATCGAGACCACCGAGGCTCTGACGTGGAGCTGTGGCATGTGGGCGTCACCCGTCTGTCGTCCGGCAGCAGGCGGGAGCTGAGCAGCACTCTCCTTCTCACCTGGTTCCCACTGCTTCTAACCAAAGTGATCAAGGCAGCTGTTGACATAACTCCAGAGGACTCAGTAATCAGGGAAAGGTCAATGGAACAATAATGGAACGTCTCCAAGAAAAATGATGCAACTGAGTAGAAAGAGAGACAGGGACTCCATCAATAACTTTGAATATAACTGACATATTATTAGATATTACCAAAAATGAAGGCATTAACAGATGTGCACCTAACAGCTGACTTCTAAAAACTGTGGATCAGCAATGAATCACTTTATTTACCCCATTCACAGTGTTTAAATTCTATAAAAATTTGACAATGTGCACATATCATATGGAGCAAGTGCTTCTCAAACTTGAACCTAAAATGACCTTGGGATCTGATTAAAATGCAGATTCTGGGGCGGCTGGTTAGCTCAGTTGGTAAGAGTGCAGTGCTCATAACACCAAGGTTGCCGGTTCGATCCCCACATGGGTCACTGAGTTGCGCCCTCCATAACTAGATTGAAACAACCACTTGACATGGAGCTGATGGGTCCTGGAAAAACACAGTGTTCCCCAATAAAATTAAAAAACAAAAACAAAACAAAACAAACAAACAAAAAAACACAGATTCTGAATCAGTCTGTCTGGAGTGGGGCCTGAGAGTCTGCATTTCTAACCAGCTCCCTGATGATACCTGTCTGGTCTGGCAAGCTGACACTTTGAGAAACAAGAGTACAGGATACAGGTAATAAATAAATCTTCTTCCCTTCATTAACTCCATTTGCTCTAGAGAAAAGAAAAGGGCAAATCTTAACAATAACAAAGTCTCTCACGAGAGATGGAAATAAGGGAAGAAAAAACTGGTTAATAGAATTTTCATGATAGTTCTGTACCTAAACAGTGTCCCAGCCTTAGCAAAGACACACCCAGGATCTAAGTTCTGTTTCAAGATTTCTCAACTTACTAAACTTTACGTACCATATTATCAAGGTTAATGTAAACTGAGTCACGCAAACACTCCCAAAGGCACAAGGAGGAGCCAGTTTTGATGCTTCCCTTTGTGAGAGATACTCACAGGGAAGCTGTGTGATCTCGGGAATGGGGTGGCACTGCATTTGTGACAAGCTGCCCTGATTGCTGAGCAACTGATCTATCCTTTACATTAACAGCTACAGCTCTCCTCTCCCACAACCCCAGGAGCCGACCCACCCCTTAAACTCACTGCCAACAACTCCAACCGGAGGCAACACCAGAGACTGGACTCCATTTTTTTGAAACTCTTATTCTGCACCCCCACTGCTTGACTCTGCCCAAAAGCTATATCCTAAAGTCTCCTCTGGGTGTGCTTTGTGAATTATGTCCATCAATAATGAGTATGTAGTAAGAGAACTACACCCCTACAGGAAGAGCTGTTTCTGACAGTTTTCCATACAAATAAGGTCCCAAGCAGAAATTCACCTCCATAGCCCTTTATTCTGTTACTTTATGAATTAAAAACCAACTTGAAAATATAGCATGATGTTAAGATTTGATAATGCTGGTGGAGGGTAAACAGGTGTTATTCTCAATGTGTTTGAATCATTTCACAATTAAAAAAGAGCATGAAAAAATATATCTCCCCAAAAAGTACAAACATACACAACACAAAAAAGCCCAGCTCGAGTGCATCTATAAGAAAATGAGTTACAGATTTCAATCATTGTCAAATAAATTTTCAGAATCAGTGTAGCTATGTATAGGGAGGGCCATTACTGCATTCAGTGAGTAAAGCAGTAAAAGGGAAGCGTGAGGTGCCGAAGAACACCAAGATATTTAAGCAATGAAAGACATGAGCCACGCCTTACAGTATTGAAACTAAAGATGGCCTCCCAGACAATGAATGTTATCATGAAAGACTTAGGAGGCCGTTCCTTTTTGGCCTTTTAGCTAATGTAATGTATAAAAGGCTAAAACTCATTTCTTTTATGACAATGTGAGAGGTGGCAGAGACACAGCATCTCCGGTTATCAAGTATCTAAGAGAAGTAACACAATAACACATTTCATTACAAAAAGAGGTGTTTATTCCTTTGCTTCTGATTGAAGGTTATATTTTATTCAGCACCAATAACTGTCAAATAAAGGTGATGATTTGTAAAGAAATTCAATCTAGCAAGGAAGAGAACTAAGTACTAATTATTGATGGACATAATTCACAAATCAACTTTATACCACATAGAAAAAAATAAAACTTGAAGTGTGTTGATTAGAAAACACATTCGTATTTGAAGAGTGCACCAGAAATGAACAAAGTACTATTCTTTTGGCTTCATTCTGAAAGCATGTATGCCATATTCAGCCTTGGGTCGTTTTGCAATCATGCAAACAAGAGTTCTAAAATTACGAACAATAAATATTGAAAAAGTTTTTCTGCAGCTTTTACAGGATACTCTTGTCCTTTTCATCCCTCTTTCTCTATCCTCCCAATATAAAAATAAAATAAAACAGAGCTGCATTCTCAGCAGGGAACCAAAATTCCACTGGAAACATTATTTAAGAGTGAAACAAAAAATGCAAGTTGGGCAGTTTCTTTAAGCCCGCATGTACTAAAATCAGTCATCAACCTGGCGTCCTTTCTCATTTATTATCTGCACTATCACCTCAGAAAGGAAGCAGAAAACTCATAGAAAAGCATTGCCTTTAAGGCCTACTGTCGGCATAGATGAAATGCGGGGCAGATAAATAGCTCGTTTATGTAGTGAGGTCAGCATCATTTATGCAGGCAGGAGGCTTGGTCTAAGAAGTAGTTTCATCTCCTCCATATGCAACATAACTAAACCATACTAATCTCCCCTACATTCCCAAGGAAACAATCAAAGAGGACCTGGGTTCCCAAGCTAAATAACAACTTTGAATTAAATCTGCACGTCAAGAAAAGTTTCTTCCATAGCTTCAAACAAGGAATCAGCCATCATAGGCCCCAGGTCTCCAGACGCCCATGGAAATGTCTATGCACTGACTAGCAGGAAAGAAAGTAGAATTTACGATGTGAAAAACACACAAAAGCCTTAAAAAAAAAATCAGTGTTCTTTATAACAAAGAGTGGAGAACGAACTGACAAACAGCTAAGAAATATTTTTATTATTTGTCAGCTCAGCAATTATAAATTGGCATACATTTATCTTTCTGCTAACTAAAAAACAGTTATTTAGGAATCCCATATGTCACTCTCTCAATTGGAAATCTTGACTAGCTTTTTTATATAGCATTTTAATATTTATATTCAGTCTTAGAAAGTCAGTCATTCCAAAAGGGTCAAAGGGCAGAAGTAATTCTGATTGAAAGCCATTTGAGGACACAAAAATGTCAGAACAAAAGTTAAATGAGCTAAGAGCACAAGAATACATTACGCTACACATTATATTCTACTAACAGAAATAAATTTTAAAAACTATGATAAGGGCCGGCCTAGTGGCGCATTGGTTAAGAACTGGCTTGGGACACCAGAGGGCCCCGTTCAGATCCCACATATGAGGGCCAGTGACACTGCTCTCTGCAGCTAAGATACTGAACAAACAGCTCGACCTGGAGCTGGGCTGCCGAGAGTCGCCGGTGACAGCGTAAGCTGCAGCCTCTGCTTCAGTGGGTTGCCATAGGCTACCGTGTGCAGCCAGCAGCCAGCATGAGCGGCTGTCCAGAGGCCCGGGACTGATCTGCCTCCCCAGGGAAGAGCGCAATGATGGTGCCAACTTGGGCCAGTGAAGCAACGTCCTCCACAACTAGACTGAAGAACAAAAAGGACAGCAACTTGTCTGTTCCCATCCCCCAATTCCCCAATTAAAAAAAAAAAAATCTTAAAAAAAAAATATGATAAGCAAGAAAATAAATAACTTGATTGGAATCCTAGCTACATAACAGGTTATTTATATAAGCAACCTAAACTATATTGATAGTCATATGCCAATAGGGGGGAAAAATGGACAATCTTCCACTTAGACCAAACTGTTTTCCAAATTTCTTTTTATTTCCCAATCAAAACAAATATATACGGCTCATGGGGTGACCGGTTAGGTCAGTTGATTACAGCATGGTGCTGATAACACCAAGGTTGCCGGTTAGATCCCCACATGGGCCACTGTGAGCTGCGCCCTCCTTAAAAGAGTCAACTATGTCATCGAAGAATGAAAGCAATGTGTAACCAATGACCATGGCTGTTCCCCAATAAAATTTATACACACACACACACACACACACACACACACACACACATATAGCTCACAAATTTACTTTAATCACACTAATTTTTTTAAATGTGTAAGTGTGCGCGCACATATTAATATATACATACACATAAAAAACCCTGTATGTTCTACATACTGTCAAAAAATAAACTGAAAATAGTTTCTTTTTTCATCATTTTCACAATGAATTGTGTGACAAGGCCTTCTCCATCTTCCTCCTCCTCAATTCTTTCACTAGTTAACCTGGTATTTTGAAGTCCTGACACAGAACTCTGACTAGTGAAGAGAGCTGACCCCTGGTTTAACAATTCTGACTTGGGGGAGGAAGTGGGTTTCTCAGCAAAGAGGGTTAAATGGAAATGTTGTAAATTGTGAGAGGCACTGAGATTCTACATACAGATGGGTGGTGAAAACCCACATCCTGAAAGTAGGAAATCTCAGGTGAAAAGCATCAGGATGGAAAAAAAAAATGCATTTGGTTTGTAGTAAACTTTTGAAGTACATACTTGATTTAAAAACAAAAGGTGAGGGGTAGGCAAGAAAAGCCCCATATAGAGCTACAAGATTGCTCTGCCAATTTTACTTTTCTTTTAACTCCCATTTTATCATCTCAATGGTTTAAACACCTCAGAGCTGTCCAAGTATATTTTTGGAAAAGGCAGGCACTTTTGGAAAGGCACTTACTGTCTCTGGCAGGAGAGTGAATTTGGGACTTGAGTTAAACTGCTCTTGCCTGTTGAAAGCAGGTCAAAAGGGTAGTTTATGTTTGTCATTTTAAAACCATGCAAAATTATTCAGGAATTTAAAAAATTAGTCCTACTGAAAACTGCTTCGAGTTATCCCTCCAGCAAAAATATTTCTAAGTATTCATATCTGCCATTATAAAGTGGCACTCAGGTCTCTTTACATCAGTAACTTCCACAATGGAAACTCAAGGTAATTTTAATATTCTTAAGCCAAATATTTCTTTATTTGCAGCCTAATAAATGCATATTTGCATCCTAATAAATTCAAATGGTACGGACATCTCCAGAATATATTTCAGGAAATTCGGACTCTAATATCTTCTTTATCAGTACAGTGCGCAGGAGGAAGGGAAAGAAAATCTACTAGTCTACACGAGGGAAAAAAACAACAAAAACCCTAAATGACTTTCCTTAGGTTTGATGAAAACGTGTGAATAAAGAACATTGGAGCAGTGAAAAGGACTCATTATTCTAATTCCATTAGATATATTTTAAAACATTTGTTAATGTGGACACAACTCACAGGCTATTCCAAGCCTATACCTTTATACTTCATGGAAGAATTTTCCTTCACATTCTATACTCTGTCGCCAGCACCTCTCCCCTCTTCTCTTCGTCGCTAAGGTTCCAATTAAGGGAGATGCCTGTATTAGTGGTCAATAAAAAGTGACACGATTGCAAGAAAGAAAAAATCATTTGCGAGATTTCACTACTCAAAAATTATACCTAAGGTATTTTATTCCACAGAGGTGCATCTGTTCTTCAACTGGAATACAACGATACGATTGATTGCTGTTTTTCAAAACCATTATAATCTGTCACTTGAATCGCTTATTCTGAAACCGCCCTGCAGCCTCATTCTTGCCTCGGCCCTGGTGGAGGATGCAAAGGATAGTAGAGGCCTCGGTGCATATTTCCAGTCTGAAGCCCAGAAAGGCTAAGGGAGCTTTAGAGACTCCAAATTCCCTGTCTATCTCCACCCGGATTCTCTCGTCTTTGTCACCTCCTGTGTACAAATATCTAATCTAGAGAAAGCGGGTGCTAAAAAAAGACATCACCAGCCGCAAGGCCTTATTACAATGCTCTGCTGACAAAGAGCAAAACCCACGTCCTCACATCGACACCAACCAAGCCTCTGCATCTTTCTCTATCCCGAGCCCCTGAAACCTCTCCGCTGCACAGTTCAGGATCCTGGACACGGTTCGCTGGCCGTGACAGATGAGTGGCCAGTATGATAATAGGGCAGGAAGCACGGAGCACTGCAGATGGCTGGGTTTCCCCTAGCACCTTCCGCCGCCCGGTCTCCGCCTCCTAACCACCCTCACCGTACACAGATCCCGGGTGTCGCTCATTTCTCCTTGTCCCGGGCCTCAGCTGCGGCTGCGACGCGGTGCTGACCCCTGCAGCATCCTCGCTTCCGGGGGCTCGGGTAGGGCGATGCGGGGCCCCACTAAAGGGAAACGCGAGCGGGCAGCCCCTACCTCCCTTCCTTCGTCCCTTCCGCGGCCCCTCGATCCCTCCGCCTCGGCCCACCCCACTAGCTCAGCTGGCGCCTCCAGCCTGCGGTCAAATTCAAGGCAGAGCGCGGGGTCTCAACAGGAAACGCCCGCAGTCAACATGCTGCCCCTGACCTAGAAAGGGAAGAAGCGGTGCACAGAGAACAGAGACACCGACCTGGGGCTCCGATTGAGAGCGCTGGACAAAATTGAACCTACATTTCCCCCTCACCTCCCTGGGGAACCCAGCCGCGCTAATTCTCCATTCTGCGACCCGGCCTATAAATGTTATATAAGGTTAACATAAATAAATGAAGTGCATTCTCTAGGTTCTTACCTCGTGATGGTTGTGTTCCTGGGAAAACTTTAATTAGCCAACGGGAGGTGGGGGAGGGGCTTTTTTGGTGGGTAAATAAGACTGCCTTCTCCGATATTTCTGATCTCTAGAGGAAGAATTCACGAACAGCCACTGGCTAGTCTGCTGGAAATTTTCGAGAATTTGTCGCCAGCAGCAGGCCAGATGGAAAGGGGCAAGTCTGTTTCTGCTGACTGACAGCAGCTCCGGCCTCTCCGCGCTTGGAGAGGCGATGCGCCTGCCGCCCGTCACACCAATCACAGGTTCCGATGGGAACGAGCCTCCCCGCAACTGCAATTTTACTTGGCCCACTTCTCCAGCACTGTGGAGCGACGTCGACTTGGGCCAGTAGCGGCAAGCGGCGACGTCCCGCCCTCCCGAAAGACTTGGCGTGCTGGCCAATGATGAAGCGCCTCGGCGGTAGGTGGGGTCGGGAGGCCGTACCAAGCCAGCGGGTGCACCGGGAGGAGGGGGCGTCTCTTTGAGCAAGGGGGCGGTAGGTGTGACAACCAGCTAACCGTAAACGGAGTGCTACCACTTTGCCTGGGCAAAGAGCTTGAAAGACACCTAGTTCATTGCTATTCTTTGAAAAACTCAAAATGCAGTGTTCTTCGTGGCTGAATAGGTGTCTTGTGATCCCTTGGTAATGTCGACTCATTCATTCGACAAGTATTTCTCTCTTCTGTATTCCTGGCATTGTGCTGAGTCCTGTCTAATGAAGAGGAAGAAGGGGAAAACAAACGGGTAAACAAGCAAATAAAATAGCAAACCATGTCAAGGAAGGGAATAGACAAGGTGCGATATAGAGACTAGTAGGAAATTGACGTTAGATAAGGGAGGGTTGTTATAAGAGAACTTGATAAGATAACATTTAAACAGAGACTTGAGGAATAAGAAGGAATCAGTCAGCCCTGAAACCAGGAAAGTAATGATTGTTCTGTAGATCATTCATATCATTTCATTCTGTAAATATAGCACAATTTATAAATTCATTCTTCTGTTGGACATTAGGGTAGTTTCCAGTTTGGAGCTCTTAGATCGTGTTGTTATGAACATTCTAGTACATGTATTATGGTGATGGCCTTTTCTTTCTATGGGAAATTTTGGTGGCTGGGTTTTAAATACAATGAAGTTATATTGGAATCTGTTCATTAACAATGTAGTAACATGTATTGCAATATCTTAAACATTTGGAGCAAAGTTTGCGGCAAATAATAAAGGACTTTGCTCTCACAAATGTGAAAACTTTTGGCAACAACAAGGAACTGTTAACGTAGGAATTTTAAGCGTGTTAGTCTAAAACATTCTGAATTATGCTTATCATTTGACTTTCTTTTTACACGCTTGCAATCTGCATGCCCAGAATTTGAGAACATCTTGATTTTGCTACATCCTTTTCTATAATAGACTGTAATCCACAGTTATATGATAAGCAAGGTCTGTTAGGCTGTCCTAAAGATATGCTTATGTTTGATGCTAATACAGTTATTAGAATTACATTTGAAAACCATACCATTCCACATCCTACCAGAGTTGATTACAAATAAAGCCAGCAGTTTACTTCTTTTAAATTATATACTCCTGCTTTGTGAATCTCTGAAGCATGGCCAAATGTAGTATAAATGTTCATGTACTCAGCATGAGGGATCACTGCATAATATCCAAAAGAAATAAATGGACACAACACTCCATGCCTTTAAATTGAGCTCCTTTTTATTTCACACTTTATATTTTAAAGAATTGAACTATTTGATAGTAGGGACTATCAGGAAACTATACCTAAAACGGGTCTTAGGGCTTTGGGTAGGTATGCGGCATAGGGGCTTATAAAATATAAAGTGAGGGCATATGAGTCTTGAGTAAGCCACTTGAAATTTAAGCTAATGAACGAGAATGAAACGGTTAAAAGATAAACTGAGGCATACTGGACATTTTAGGAGTTTATTTGAGCAAAAATCAATTGGAATTGGGCAGCACTAAACTGGAAGCAGTTAGGAGTGCTCCACCAATAGGAGCTATAATTATTTGACTGGCTATGGGTTAAGCAGTTACCTTTGAGTCATAGAGTGGAAAAATCAAATGGAGTCACTATTGTCAAGCTGCTAAAAAAATTACTAAAATCAAGTAGGTTAAGGCATGAGGAAACAATTCTACTCTTGTTTTAACTAGCCTGAAACTTAAACTTTTGAACTTCTGAGTCCTGTGTCAATACCTGGACATATACCAGACTGCCAGATAACCCTCTGATTACCCCTCCTGAAGGACTCACATATTCAGACCATCTGACATCAACCTAACTCCTGTTATCCAGACCACTGGACATCTGACTGATAACCAGTTCTGGACCAATCCTAAGGCTTGACGAATTTTTCTTAAGAAAGTACTTTTTACTATAAGGACTCTTAGCTTTTCTTTCTTCTTTACTTTATTTGGGAAAGTCTCGTTGTTTTTTTATCCTTAGGTTTCTCTTTGTGATTGGTTGTCCTTAGGTTTTCTTTTAGATTTATTTTTTTTAATCTTTTATTGGGGAATTGGGGGAGGGAATAGCGTTGGGGAAATGGGAAAGGGGAACAGACAAGTTGCTGTCCTTTTGTTCTTCAGTCTAGTTGTGGAGGACGTCGCTTCACTGGCCCATGTTGGTATTGTGAGAATTGCACTCTTCCCGGTGGAGGCAATTGGTCGCCACCCATTGAATGGCCGGTCACAGAGGCTCAGGGCAGCTCACTTCAGCTGCTGGCCGCTCATGCTGGCTGCTGGCTGCCGGCCACTCATGGTAGCTCAAGGCAGCCCACTGCAGCCCCACTGCAGCCTACGCCATCGCCAGGACTCACGGCAGCCCAGCTCCAGGTCGAGCTGTTGTTCACCATATCATCTGTAGAGGCTGCAGCGTCACTGGCCCATGTGGGATCCAAACCGGTGTCCCTACTGCTCAGAGCTCGCGCTCCCAAGCCAACTCTAAACCAATGAGCCACTCGGCCAGCCCCTAGGTTCTCATTTCTTAACCTTAAGGCAATACAGGCTTAGGTTTTGGTTTGCTTAAGTGAACTACTAAGGCCTTAAAGCCACCTCAGTCTAATGGCCTCCTGTTTAATAAAAGTTAACACTACCCATTTTCCTGATTAGTTACTAATGCTCCTGGGAGCCATATGTGTGATAATGAGTTGATAATTTTATTAATATTCACTAATGAAAAATTATTTTCTTGTTAAAAATTAGAGATGGATATTTTTGTATATTTATTGAAATATCCAAGAATATGTCATCCCAAAATATGCCTCTTTGCATATAGATTATTTTGAGATAGAAGCTAGTAAGAACCAGGAGATATAGGAAAAGCTTTTACCTCCCCTTGCCTAAGAATAGAGTATAAATTTCCCCTTTTGTAAAGTAAATTTATATTTATAAAGGAAATTTCCATTTATACTAGTATCTTTAGGAAGTGCCAAGAAAAGAGCTATCCGCAGAGATAATGTTATGGCCTGAGAGACTGCATTGCAAGATAGCCCTTATTTACCATACATTTCCTCCCCTCACCCTCCCATAACTTGCCTTCTCCACTCAGAAACCCAAATCCCTTTTCCTTTGTTTAGTCTAAGGTAGTCTATTAACCTCAATCATCTGGCCTCCTAGAGTCTCATTTGTTGTGTGTGACATTTCCATGCATACTCACATAATTAAAATGTTTTTTCTTTTTTAAATTTGTCTTTTGTCAGTTTGATCCAGGGTCCCAGCCAGATAACCTAGGAGGCTAGAGGGAAAACATTTTTTCTTTCCCTGCATTAGATTCAGCAGTTTTCCTGGTAAGTATCTGTATGTTACTTTTGGCCTCGTTCCCAAAACATAGGTCTGGGATACTAGATAGGATGTATCCATATTTTTCCATAGTTCAGGCTGTTCTAACCAGAATTTCGAAACCAAATATCCCTTCTCTGTGTCACTAGAATAATTGCCAAAACACAAACACAAGGAATTTTTAAATCTTGCCCTTGGACCGAATTAAAACTTACATCAGTGGTTTTTATCTTCAAGTATAATTGTTGCTTTTTTTTCCCATGTGTAGTTTACCCCCACAAGTATGGAATAAATGAGCTTCATCCAGTACCAGTGGTATAGAGATTTGAATTATCTTTCCATTTCCACCTCTGACTTTTCTATTTGACCTTATTCAAGTATTTAATATCACTATGCATCATTCTCATATAGGGCTGTTATGAGGGAAATTGTATTTTTTATTTTATTTTATTTTTTTTTAGCTGAGCCATCTTGCCACCTATTGGCACTCAGCGACAGCTCAGCTTGGGCCGGGAATTAAACCCGTGACCCTGTTGCTCAGAGCTCGCACTCTTGAGCAAGCTCTTAACCAACTGAGCCACTCGGCCGGTCCTGTGTTTTATAGATGCATATTATAGGAAAAAAGTTAAAGAAAATTGCGTTTTGTTACTTAAATAACAAAAGCTCAAAATCAAGGAGATGAAATACGATAGACATTAGCACCATTTGCCAAATATTTCCTGCTCTCTACCACTCAGGCAGTGTCTGGCTCCGTTGTGGGTGGTGCTGTGAGGAGGTGGGACACTTGTGAGAGTTCAGGTCAATAAATTGTAAGTGGAGGAGACATGGTTTTTGAGTTGGAGCATTTAATGTCCTCCTGCAAAACCTTCCAAAGGTCACTGCCCTCTGCCATCGCAACCAACAATGTTCCAGATCATGGCTGCTACTTCAATCTGGGTCCTTGAGTGATTATAAAGAGCAGAATCCTTCTGTAATATATGATGACCATATAGCATGAGCAAGAAACAAACCTTTGTTGTTTTAAGACACTGATATTGTTATAGCATTTCGAGCTAACTTAACCTGGCCTATCCCAACTGACACAGAGAGTAGTAGTTCCAACTTAAAATTATTTGGTGAAGTTTTTCTTGGGGCAATTTTAGTCAAAGAGAAATTTTCATTCATTTTTTTAAATTTATTGGGGTGACAACGGTTAGTAAAATTATATAGGTTTCAAGTGTACATTTCTATAATACATCATCTGTATATTACATTGTGGGTTCACTGCCCAGAGTCAGTTCTCCTTCCATCACCATATCACCATATTCATTTTTTTCAATAACTTTTTTGTGAAATGTCTACAGTATATTCAGTATTATGTATGTTAGGAGGTTCTGGGGTATTCTAGTAATGAACAAACAAAATAAATATGGTCTCTGCTCTCATGAAAACTGAGGTGGGCAGAGGAGACAGTAGGAATGTATCTAAATATGATGAATGCTATACCTGGAAAAGTTTGACATTCTCTAAGCATTATCCTAGGAGTCTTGTGGCTTATCTCTCCCTTTCTATCTCTGTCTCTCTTCTAAAGTAGGGGTTATTCAGTTGCTGACTATACAAGGCTACCTAGAAAGAATGAGAGAAAAAACAAGTTTCTAACTCTTGAGAAGTATCTTGAAATTATAGAAAATGTACCTGACCTGAGCCTGGAGCCTAGACTCCAACCTTGCTTTTGACCAATATGTGGCCTCAGATAAGCAGCTAGCTTTGCTATGCCCGTCTCATCGATGTGAAATAGCACTAAATATAACCTGCCATGGCTGACTTACATAATTGCTGCAAGAATTAAATTAGGCAGAGACTGCAAGTGTCCCATAAAAATAAACAGTGTTATTCTTTAAAGATTTTACAGTGCCTTGGAGAAGCCTATAAATAATAAGTGTAAATAAATAATGAAAACACTTGGTCCACCTATAAAGCAACATATAAACAAATTAAAATTAATATTGTACCCTGCCATCTGTGAGAAATGGTGCAGAATGACATAGTGAAAATTATACCTTCAAGAATCTAAAACTCAGTGTTTATTGTCAAGTAATACCCATTAATGTACTGCTATTAGGATGCAGCAGAAATAGGCCAAAAGCTCCCTTGTAATCCGCATAAAGAATATTCAATACTTTTCTTGTCAGTAAAATGAAGTGAATGTACAAATAGCTAGTTTTATATAAGTGGACAAACAGAAAAACGCATGCAGTATGAAGAAAAATTGCCATTGTCTTTGAAATCTGTAATTTCAGAAGTGTATGTATGCCTTTAATCAGTTCGAAATGATACTAATTTCCCAGACTCCTTCCTTTTATTCTGAGTCTCATTTAGATTAGAGTTCAGAATCTCAAGGTAACATTGTGAGAGATGATGAAAGGCACATTTGTCACTGGTTGTCAGGCAACCAAAAGCTTGTGCTACTGCCATGTACAAATATGCCACCCTGATTTGTATACAGAGTGGGAGTAGGTGCTGAACTGCTTTTCTATTGGTCAGTTTCTCTTCCAATGGCAGCAAAGAAAGTATTATTTTTCCAGCTAATTAGCATACTCTGGGAAACTACCCAACTGTGCTTGTTCCCCTGGCAGTGTTAAATATAGACTTTAAAAACAGGATTGGCTTTAGCTTTGGGTGATCTAGATTTTTATATACAGAAATACTCCAGGAAAAGTTTTAAAAATTCAAATAAACGAATAGCATATATTGTTTATACTATGAAAAGTTAAGCAAAAGACAGCTTGGTTTTGTTAAAGATACTTTAATATAAAGAAAATAACAATTCACAGTGCTCCTTGAAGGTTAAAACCAGGAAAGAGTTCCCCAGGTCACAAAGGGCCACAAAAATGTGTTCCCTACCTCCACTCCACCTTTGCACAGACCATAGGGAAGAGGCAGAAAGCTGGGAAAGGAACAAAGGAAAGGGGACCACGTGAGAGACCTCAGCCTGCTCATATGAGGGATCGCCATAGGGCCTAAAATGTGACCCAGGGAGAACTGGAAACATATATTTTGTGCTGTTTGGTGATGAACTGTGTGCAACTCCTAGAAGGAAGCCTGATTTCCCTGGGGGCTCATGAGCACAGCTGCGTGTTTACTGTAGATAAGGACTGTAATAGTGTTTGCCACCAGGGAACCTTTCACCTCTTCCTTTTAACTACTGACTAAACATATAGCTTGGGAAAGGAAAGTCTCAGAAGTCTTTTTGCCTGTCCAGAAGTCAATATGATCCAAGAATTTTAGAGCTGGTAGGTACCTTTGAACTTATTTACCCATCTTCCCCTTCATTTTTCAGAAAATGAAATGCAAACTCTGAGAGGTGGAGAGATTCGCCCAAGCCCACAGAGCTGGTAACTCCAGTCTGGAGTTATTTCTAGCATCCCAGGCAGGCTCTGATTCCACCTCCTCACACTGTATGTGATCATACCCCTGAAAACAGGCAACAAAGCCTGGGATTCTATCAAGGACATGCCCACTCGTAGCAAAGTTTGGTAAAATTAGATGTATTTCTTCTGTACTACCTGTAGGAGAGACACTAAGGCTGTAGGTCGGATTGACTCTGGGCAATATTTTGAAGTAGGTAAAGTGTGAATTCAGTGGCTTCATAACTTGCCTTTTCTGACAGGCTGTGTAATATAGTGGCGGAAAACATGGCTCTGGAGACACCCAGCCATTTACAAACTGTGACCTTGGGCCAGTTTCTTAACCTTCCTATGCCCAGTTTCCTCAGGAATAGATGGAGGTGGTAGTATTTCTCAAATCATGCTTTTGGAGAGGGTTTAATGAACTAACATGTAAAGTATCTAGAGTCGTTCTTGACATTAGACAATGTTAGGAATTTTTATTAGTGCCTGTCATTGCCTGGGCCCTACCTTGTTCTGGGCTTGCTCGTCTCGGACATTGTCCCCTGATCACAAAATGTCTGTCTTCTCCCTCCTCTCCTCTATAAAAACTCTCTCTCCTTATTTGTTCAATAAATGGCTGTTCTCTCATTCAAATAATATTTATTTAATTCATCCCCCTATGTGCCAGAAACTTTTCTGGGAGCTGGGAATACAGCAATGAACTAAACAGGCAAAATTTCTGTCCTCGTGGCACGTACTCTCTAGAGAAAGAAACAGAAAACAAAATAAGTAAATATCCTCTTTGATAACCCAAATGTCCCTCAACAGGTGAATGGATAAAGAAAATGTAGTATAGCTATACAGTGTGGTATTATTCAGCAATAGAAAGAAATGAAGTAGTAATGCTCGCTATGACATGGATGAACCTAGAAAGCATTATGCTAAGTGAAAGAAACCAGTCTCAAAAGACCATATATTGTGTGATTCTGTTTACATGAAATGTCCAGAATAGGCAAATTTGTAGAGACAGAAAGTAGATTCATGGTTGCCTAGAACTGAGAGATGTGGTAGGTTGTTTTATTGGGGGGTGGGGGTGAGGTGTGGGGGGAGAGAGCAATGGGGAGTGAATGCCAATGGCTACGGGGTTTTCTTTTGGGGGTGATGAAAATGTTCTAAAATTATGGTGATGGTTGTGCAACTCTGTGAATATATTAAAAACTATTGAGTTGTGCACTTTAAATGGATGAATTATAGAGCATGTAAACTATATCTCAATAAAGCTGTTTAAAGTATGATGTTGTTTTAACCTAGGGATCGGAACAAGATGTGCAGGAGGAACCTGAAACAACAGATCAATCTGATCCTTCTCAGTACCTTGAATTTGCTATGAGTTATTCACTTAATTTAAACATGAATCACTAGTCATCAGAGAAATGCGAACTAAATCATTCACAAGTATATCCCCCTTCACGCCCTTCAGGCTGACAAAGAAATCAGAAATTTGGATCCTGACAAGGGTTGGAAGAGGTGTGGCAAAAGAGGAATAGACTATCCTCCACTGCTGGTGAACTTCTAAATGGGTACAGCCATTCTGGAGAGCAATCTGGCATAATATAGTCTAATAAAGAAAACACATATTCTATGATCCAGCAATTCCAAAGACATTGTCACACGGGTCTCTATGAGAAGAGCTGCAAAGATGTTCCCTGCATCACAGCCCAGAGCATAAGGGGGTTGAAGTCTGTCTGGGTGCTCATGCCTGGGAGAGTGGACAGGTAAAATGTGGTGCACATGCTGGAGTCTATCTAATGCTCTGTGAGTAGCTTCAGGTTAGATGTAGGCAAAATTGGAAGGGTGACTCAAATACATAATGCTGGGTAGGGAAATGTAAACACTGGAAGGAGATATATAATACAATACTCTTTCCATAAGTTAAAAATGTGCACACATAAAACAATGTATTTTACAATAATACATTCAAATAAAAAGATAGGCCACTCAAATAATGTTGGCAATTAGCCCTGTGCCTACAGTCTCCTTGTCACGAGCGTCTGCTAGGCTCACAGACCGTGCTGCAATCTCTTCCTGCAAATCAGAGGGACTAACCCCAGGAGAGACTCTCAGACCCCCAGGATCTACCTGGCACTGAGTGAGGCCTCAGCGGTAGCTGTGGCTTCTAGCAAGAATTAAGGCAAACCCACACGTCTAGTGCCTTTCAATATGCTCATTTATTCACACAGAAAATGCAGTGGGAGGAATAGGCTCCTGAACATCAATATCACACCACAATATAATCACAGCAATATGGCCATTAATATAGCAATAATAATTTAGTGAAGTATTTTGATAACAAACCAGTCCAAGAGTCAATCAGAATCTGGCGCGCAGGGCAGCTGGTCGGGGAGGTCATTCCGTCAGAGGTTTGCTCTGAGTCCGACGGAGCAAGCAGGTTTTTGGAGCAGAGGAGCAGCATGGTCACCTCTCAGTCGAGACTGGCTGCCTGAGCTATCGATATCCTGGGTTCTTAATGACATCAGTGGAGCCGTATGATGTCACCTTATCAGTCCTCACAGACTTGTTTCCTATCAGTCCATGCAGCTGCTGCACGGTCCATCTGGTGGTGGTTTATCTTCATGGGGAATTTCCACAGCACTCAGTGTTAAGACAGAGGTTACTCTTGTTCATACAAAATGGAGTCACTCTTGCTCATATAAAAACACACTTTTCAGGGGTGCTCTGCACACTTCTTTTCCCATGCTTCATAAAAGGTCAGGATTTATATATAGAGAAAAGATTTTTTAAAATATGCGTCAGCACGGCTGTAGGAGAGATCCCTGCCTTAGGTGGCAGATGACCAAAAGCGGGATAAACCAATAAGATAGCAGAGGTTGCAAGATTAGACCCACATTCTGGCCCACACCTAGTTTCTTTACCATTTTAGGTTTCTTTACCATTTACCATTTTAATACCCAGGGATGGTTTCTCCACAACAGAATTTAAACCTGGGTTCTCTGAAATTGAAAATGGTTGGTTTTGCTCTAAACTGAGACTGAACCATTGATACCACAATGGCTCCTTGGTGTGCCCCCACCTTTTCTACCAGCCCAGCTATGTACACGATTTCCTTAAAGAAAATGTACTCTTTGGTCACCGCACAACCTCAGTTTTTGCATCATTCTGACAATGGCTCCTGGCATTTCCTCACAGACCTTCCTGCCTAATGTTAAAATGGACTAAGCCAGGTTCCATACCAAAAGGTCTTGGTTTTGTCTTTTGGCGTCATTTACAGCTGATTGTTCTTGGTTAAGTCATTTAACTTCTCACAGCTTCCGTTTTCCCACATAAAATAGGGATGATAATAAAATGTGTCAGCTGTCTTTTCTAAGTGTTTTCTATGCAACTAGAAACATACACATTAAAGTTAGAATTATATCCTATTTATTATGCGTATTTTCTGTTAATTTTGTCTTTATTCAACATATATATAATGGATAGCTTTCAATGTCAATATATATAGATTAATAGCTAATAGCTGTTGTGCATGTGTGGGGGCAGGGGACATACTGGAAATCTCTGTACCTTCCACTCAATTTTGTGGTACACCAAAATCTGCTCTAAAAAAATAGTCTATTTTTTTAAATTTGAAGTTGATTCAATAATATGATTGAATAATTTAAAATACATGTTCATAGATTTTTATGGTATAATAATTATTGAATCTAGGGTTATATGTGTTGGATTATATCTACAACAAGTTATTCTCATATTTAAATAATGTACTCAATGAGAGAAATGATCTTAATATGAATATTTAATACACAGATAACTGTCCACGTCAATATACACTTTTAAAAAAATAGACTTTACTTTTTAGAGTAGTTTTAGGTTCTCAGCAAAACTGAGTGGAAAGTGCAAACAGTTCTCACATATCCCATGCCCCTGTCCACATGCACAGCCTCCCCCAGTGTCAACATCCCCAACAGAGTGATACATTTGTTACAATTGATGTACCTAAATTGACACATCATTGCCACTCAAGGTCCATGGTTTACATTAGGGTTCACTCTTGGTGTGGTACATTCTGTGGGTTTTGACAAATATATATATATATATTTTATTAGTTTCAGGTGTACAAATATATACTTTTTAATGGCTGTATGGAGTACCATGGTATGGATTTGCTGTGAATAGCTTAATTATTTGAAAATAAATTCATTTGAATTTTTTTTTATTATATACAATACAGATGATGCATTATGTGTTAAAATTCTTCCTATTTTAACTTATCAATCAAGTAAGATTGATGCATAGGAAAATCAACAGAGCACATGAATAGGCAATTTATAGAGAAAGAAATATATATAGCCAAAAACTAAATGAGAAGTTGCTCAATCTCATTAATAATCAAAGTAAAGAGATTTAGAACAAGACGTTGTTTCCAAGAGACAGATTGCTAGAGAGAAAAAAGATTGATAATATCAGAGTTGGAAACTGTCTTATAAATTACTAGTTACCTTTCTCTTGCTGATTTTAGGATTCTCTCATCTTTAACCTTTGGCATTTTCATTGTAACGTGTCTTGGTGTAGGCCTGTTTGGGTTCATCTTGTTTGAGACTGCGCTTCCTGAGCTTGTATGTCTATTTCCTTCACCAGGTTAGGGAAGGTTTTCATCACTATTTTTTCAAATAAGTTTTCAATAGATTGCTTTCTCTCTTCTCCTTCTGGTACCCCTATGATGCAAATGTTGTTACACTTGTTGTCCCAGAGGTCTTTAAAGTATTCTAATTTTTTTGGATTCTATTTTCTTCTTGCTGTTCCGATTGGATGTTTTATACTACCTTGTCTTCCAAATGCTGATACAATCCTCTGCTTCATCTAGTCTGCTGGTGATTACTTCTAGTTCATTCTTCATTTCAATTATTATATCATTCACTTCTGGGTTGTTTTTTTTTTTTAAGATTTTTATTGGGGAATTGGGGGATGGGAAACAGGCAAGTTGCTGTCCTTTAGTTCTTCAGTCTAGTTGTGGAGGACGTTGTTGCTTCACTAGCCCAAGTTGGGACCATCATTGCGCTCTTCCCGAGTGAGGCAGATCAGTTGCCGGCTTCTGGACGGCCACTCACGCTGGCTGCCGACCACACATGGTAGCTTATGGCAGCCCAAGTGGCGCGTTGGTTAAGAACTGGCTTGGGACG